AAATATCTGAAAGAAAAAGGAACATGCACAGATAGCTCAAAAAATATTTTGCTGAAAAAGTTTTCGGATTTTGATTTGGAATTACAAATGAATTTAACAATAACAATACTTCAAAATATCATCAATATTATTCAGATTAAATGAAGGAATTTGCACAAACTTTAAAGGCATCTGCCGAAACTTTAAACAAATTGTTACACTGTAAAAAAAAGTTAATCTAACAGATAATGTTGTTCAATACGCCTAACAAAATATTTATTTAAATGAAGTAAAAATATATTTAAATCAATAAAATATGCTATCTACAATTAAGTAGGTACTTTATCAATTCAAATATATTTTTGCTTTATTTAAATAAATATTTTGTTGTGCGTATTGAACTAAATTATCTGTTAGATTGACTATTTTTTTTACAGTGTACTATTTGCGAAAAATTATATAACAGTAGTATTAAAATTAGATCCATAACTTTTGTGATGTGCTCCGGTAAATTTTAATACTTTTTAAAAAACTAGGGTGTATATTTATTCCAAAACAAATAAAAACATCATTTAAACATGTACAAATAATACAAATGTTTATACATATAATTATGAACCTATGACATATGATAAAATTATGTAGGAATGTAATTGCTGAAGAAAAAAATTTCAAAAATACACAAAAAAATTCAAGAAAACAAACAATTTCATGACATAATGAAGTTATATACTGTAAATTTTTAATAGAAGTTTTATATAGAAATAGTATAAAACCTAGTTTAAATATGTTAATTGTTTAAAGGGGATCAATACTGTAACGGCTTAAAAAAGTAACCCTTTTTGCGAATTTTTTGTAACATCCATAAAGCAGATAGATAAATAATGTTTTTGCATTGAATTGTTATTCTTTGAATTATTAAAAAATATTTTTTATTTGATTAAATACATTTTTATTTTAATATAAAATGTGTCTGTAGTAGACTCTGCATTATTTATCGGTTTTATTGCACCTGGGATCCTTAAAAGTCATTTGAAATTAAAAAACCCAAGATTTTTTTGAAGTATATAAATGTAGTTTCAGTTTAGCGTACAGATTTCTTTTTACAATTAAAATTTCCTATTTTTATGATTTGTACGATAAAAAACGGTTTTCTTTTTTTGAAAAATTTTAAAATTTTATTTAAAAATGCACCATTTTACGAATAATGAAGACATTAAAATTTCTGTACGCTTAACTGAAACTAATATATTTATATATTTCAAAAAAGTTTTGACTTTTTAAATTTTAGATGACTTTTAAGGACTCCACGTGCAAGGCCGATAGATAATACAGAGTCTACTACAAATACATTTTATATTAAAATAAAAATGTATTTAACTAAATAAAAAAATATTTTTTAATAGTTCAAAGAACAATAAATTCAATGCAAAAACATTTATTTAACTACCTGCTTTATGGGCATCCCAAAAAATTCGCAAAAAAGAGCTACTTTTTTTAGCCATCACAGCGTTGATCCCCCTTAAAGACTACTGTGACCGACCGGAAAAATGGATAATTTTTAAGCATGGATTACGAAGAAATATAAAAAAACTATAAACTTGTAATTTAGTACTTTATTTAAGTACACGATAAAAAAATTTGTTGAAATTTTGGTTTGATTTTTAGCATAAAAATTGTTAATTAATTTGTTAATATTTTGCAAACTAACAATGATATTGAAAAAATCCTATGTCAATGTTTAGAGAAAGGTTAATAAAAAAAAAAAAAACTTTAAGTCGATCCAATGAGTACATACCGAAAAATCTTCGACACTAGTGAAAAAAATTATTTTTTTTAACATTTAATAAATGATATTAAAAATATTATTTACGTTTTCTTTTTACATGCTTTTATACCCCTCGCATACTTAAATAAAGTACTAAATTACAAGTTTATAGCTTTTTTTTATTTCTTAGTAACTCATGCTTTAAAATTATTTATTTTTTCGACCGGTCAGTACAGTCTAATCCCTTAACAAAAGATTTCGAAACATTTGCTATATTTAGAATATACCGCTCTAACATAAGAAACGTACACTCGAAAATAGTGTGATCAATGACGATAGGGAAAAAAATATATTAAAAATATATTTCAAACATCATTAAAAAATTTTTGTATAAAAGTGGACATGTATTTTTAATATTATAGATCCTAAAAAAAATCGAAAAGACACTTTATATATTAAGAATTATAAGGGCTTGACAAAAATCGCAATAATTCTTGACTTGTAAATTGTTAACATATAAAAGAATATGTTATCATTTTCTTATTAAATAATAACATTGAGTGATTTGTTAAATAATATAGAAATGGGAATTGTTACATATTTTGGCTCCATTTTTTTAATTTAGCAACAAGTTGGCGCGCCTTTCTGTGCAGACCTTTAATTAGTCGCGCCGACGTCTCGTTACTAAGTTAAGAAAATGGAGCCAAATGCAACAATTCCTATCTCTCTATATTGTTTTATAAATCACTCAATTATTGTCTAATGCCAAAAAAACGCGACAAATATATTGCGACAAGAAATATAACATATATAAGATTAATAAAATGTATAGAAAATTGAAAATAAAAAATCGCGATCTCTTTCTTTCGAATGATTTTTCTAATCATCATTAAATAAAAAAAATTATCAATTTAATTGTTACACGATGTTAAATATTCACTGCAGATATTTGATAAATTAAAATAATATGTAAAAAGTATAGAATTTAACAACGAGTTGGCGCGCCTTTGTGCGCAGGCCTTTAGTTAGTCGCGCCGACGTCTCGTTGCTAAGTTACGAAAATCGAGCCAAATGCAACAATTCCCATCTTTCTATATTATTTAACAAATTATTTAATTATTGTATAATACCAAAAGAACGCGACAAATATATTGCGATAAGAAATATAACATATAATATTAATAAAATATATAGAAATTTGAAAATAAAATACCGCGAATCTCTTTCTCTCGAATGATTTCTAATCATCATAAAATAAAAAAGAAATTATCAATTTAATTGTTACATGCTGTTAGGTACTCACTGCGGATATTTGATAAATCAAAATAATGATGTAGAAAGTATGGAATTCCTCGAGATAACTTCGCAAATATCGGAGGCACAAAATACACGTCCGTATGGGCTCACGTTATCGCAGAGAAAGAGCGAAAAAACAAAATCGCCGCGCTAGGAGGATCTCGTTAAGTCACTGCACACATCATGCGCGACTTAAGGCGCCAGCGTAGTTAACCAATCAGAAGATCCTAGTCCAAAACTAGCCAATTGGCAATGTGGATTGGTAGCATATATTGTCCAACCGTGCTTGCGTTGGTTGCGCGCGTAAAAATGGAGCTTTGATACAATTCAGACACTCCTATAATATTATATATTTAAAAAAAATATTATCATTGCTAAATTAATATTCAAATAGGGAAATAATTTTAATGCTGTCAAAATATAATATAAAAAATATAAAAAATAAAATTAATTAATGAAAGGCTCGTATAAATTAACAAAATTTAAAAAAGGTAAATATTGTAGGCCAACTAAACGAGCAATTAAATAAGATCTAAAGATTTATTAATAATTAAATAATTAAATTCTCATTCCGTTAGAGAAACAATATACAGCATAAACGTTTCGACTGTACTACAGTCTTTTTCAATACATAAAAATCAAATATTATAATACAAAGTTATAAATATTAAAATACAAAGTTAGTTAAATATTAAAATACAAAGTTAAACGATTCTTCGCTGATGACCAATTTAGACTTCGCAACACACACTTGAAATGTCGAGAAGAAGAACTTGTTAAAACGATAATGTAAGTTGAAAGATTTTTTCATTTTCTCTGATATTAATTTAATTCGCGTAAAATATCCACAGCATGATTAAATGTCGCAAAACTTGAAATCTCAGACCAATCGTTTTACTCATCCATTGGTCATCAGCGAAGAATCGTTTAACATTGTATTTTAATATTTAACTAACTTTGTATTTTAATATTTAACTTTTGTATTTTAATATTTGATTTTTATGTATTGAAAAAGACTGTAGTGCAGTCGAAACGTTTACGCTGTATATTGTTTCTCTAACGGAATGAGAATTTAATTATTTATTAATTATTAATAAATCTTTAGATCTTATTTAATTGCTTGTTTAGTTGGCCTACAATATTTACCTTTTTTTAAATTTTATAAAAAATAATATTTGTATACGCCATATTGGTAAGGTACGGTTCGTACGAACTGTATTGTACGATATGTACCGATAATATGCACTAATACGTAGTACAGGTACAATGATGATACGCTGTACTACAATATCACGTATTGGTTTTGTACTGTTACCATACGGTTACTCCGTATGCTGCCATCTCGTGGCGGCACAGTAATAGTACAGTAGCGGTATTTTGTGCAGGAATCGCACGCTTGGTTATCTGGGTAATGATAAGGAATATTTGTATAAAGATAATTTACTGCATTTTCATCATATTGATTTAATTTGAACCATGCAGTCAGCGTAGTATCTCGATTTAGCTCTCTTTGAGCAGCTTGTTTTTCATTTCCTGCTCGAAAATAAACCATTTGGCGATTAGACAAATGAACTGCCAATCTTATTACTGTATGAGATTTCATGAACAAATCATATCCGTTAAGTCTCCACATTGCTTCTGGAGCACTAACATATCTTGCATCCATGAATGAGTTAACCTCATCTATTCTAATGAATCTTGTACCATCTCGTGCTTGCACTTCAATTGCAGCACAATCAAATCCTTTATGAATATATTTATATAGATATTTTACGCTCTTCACTGATGAACATATTTCTAAATTAATATGTCAATTATATTTCATAATTAAATATGGTGAATACGGCACCACCCATCGATTATCCACTTCTTTATTTCTAACGATGTATTTTATTCCAATATTCCTACGTTGATATATGGGATATCCATTTACATTAGCATTAGTTTTATCACTAAATTATTTTGGAAATCCTTTTGAACATATTCCATCGTCCCCAGTGCAAGGATATCTCCTCGAGGGATCTCCACATGGACCGTGAATCATGTGTTTTAAAACTTTTTCATTAAGTTCTGAATATTTTTCTTCATTAGGAATTTCAGCCCATACCATCATATCAATGACTTCTTGAAGTCGGGGCTTATCTTCATCGCTCAACATTGCAAGTAAATGCAAATGTGGAAGTCCTCTTTTTTGAAATTCAATCACACCTGCATAAGCTATAATATTTCCAAAAATTTTATCTTGAATTAAATCCTTTAAAATCTCTTTGACATCCAAATTAAATGTTTTAGCGACTAAATCAGGTCGAAACTCTATTTGACATCCATCAAGATTATCCTTAATTTCAGGACATTGAGGATTGCAAGTCATGGTTAGAAAAATGTCTGGTTTACTATACTTTCTTACCAAAGACATGGCATCTTGGTATCTTTCTTGCATGTTCCTTGGACTGCCCATAAATGAAGATGGTAATATTACAGGTACACCAACTGTAATTCCCTCATTTTGTGCTCGATTATCAAGGTGATCCATTAATCTTGAATAAAGTTCTGCTCTTAATTGAGGTTGATTTAATTTAATACAATTAAGTCTTCTGGCTTCAGTTTTCATATAGGCATCAAGTATAAATTGACATCTCAATTTGCCTGCTCTTTTAAATTGGCTAAATTCGGCTCTTGGTGCCAGCAGATGAGCATAATAATCCATTTGAGTTACTTTAAATCCTGAATATTTAGAATTATACGATTTCATTTCTGAATGCCATCCATCGTTACCATATGGATATAACAAAGGATAACACATTGGGTCACACTTTTTGTCCAGAATTAATATTTGTTGAACATCGTTTGAATTTTTATTATAAATCCGAATGTCTCTTTCAAATGGAGGCTCACCATCTACATTCTGAAAAACCACAGCTATTTCATTAGCTTGTGGAGCATTATATCTTCTTTGATCATGTTGAGGATCGTTTCGAAAAGACATTAAATTTATATTTTTATTGCCTATCGGATTTAAGATCTTGTTCAACTTGACGCATCATCTTGAAAGTCTTTGCAAATTTATTGCATTGAACCATAAAACTTGACAAATTTTTCATTATTTCAAAATCACATTCTTGATTAACTTTCTTATTCATTCTATGATTTATAGCTTCTTCCGTATCTAAAAAGTAAAGCTGCGCAAAGCGCGGAGCTTGCCCATCCGCTGAGCGCATTGCTGTCGAAGTCAAATGATGATATTGCCCATGAATCTTCAAGCAATAAGAAGCATTGTTCACAACATTCAATGGATTTCTATTGCCCGGGACACCCATAGAAGCCATAGCTAAAGCGCTATTATATGAACGAATATTATGAAGGAAATTTTTCGATGCATAATCATTTCCCATGTATAATTTTTTAATCAAATCAGGACAATTTATTGACTTTAATGTAAGTTTACCCTTTTGACAACAATATGTAAATTTCCCATCTTTAGGTTTTTCACATTCAAAATTTAACGATTTGCAAAATTGGCATTCTATATTCATTTGACCAAGTGTATGAACTGATACATTTATTTCATTGCCCTTGGCAATTAGCGCAATATGATGATTTAATTGTCTAGCTTGTTGCCTTCCCTGAGCATGTCTCTGAGCATCAACTTCGAGTCGTTGAGACCTTGCGTAATTATTTTCATGAGCCCTCTGTTGAGCATGTCTTTGGGCATCAGCTTTGAGTCGTTGAGACCTTGCGTCATTATTTTCATGAGCCCTCTGCTGAGCATGTCTTTGGGCATCAGCTTCAAATCGTTGAGACCTTGCGTCATTATTTTCATGAGCCCTTTGCTGAGCATATCTTTGGGCATCAGCTTCGACTCGTTGAGACCTTGCGTCATTATTTTGATAAGCCCTCTGCTGAGCATGTCTTTGGACATCAGCTTCGAGTCGTTGAGATCTTTCCTCGAAACTCTCAATTTTTCGTATTTGTCGTAAGCGCTTGCTTTCGCGACTGATTTTATATAAATTTCCGCCTTTTCTCTTTTGAGGCATACTTATCTGCGTCGTACCGTATACGGCGTATACGTAGGTATATTATAAATATATTGCTGTAATAATTATATCTATATTATCTATCTATATATATAAGTACCGTCTGTCTATCTGTGTGACCAAGAATTATTTATTCATTAATTCATCGATTTTCTTGATGGAATTTTTCTTTTTTGTGCTTATTCTGTTTTATATTAATTCTTTGTATAAGCACACAGCAGCCTTTTTATATAGGCGCACTGCAGCCTTTTTTACAGGCACACAGCAGCCTTTTTTACACGCGCACAGCAGCCTTCTTTTACAGGCGCACTGCAGTCTTTTTTACAGGCGTACAGCAGCCTTTTTTACAGACGCACAGCAGCCTTTTTTTACAGGCGCACAGCAGCCTTTTTTTACAGACGCACAGCAGCCTTTTTTTACAGGCCCACCGCAGCCTTTTTTACAGGCGCACAGCAGCCTTTTTTTTACAGGCGCACAGCAGCCTTTTTTACAGGCGCACAGCAGCCTTTTTTTACAGGCGCGCAGCAGCCTTTTTTACAGGCGCACAGCAGCCTTTTTTTTACAGGCGCGCAGCAGCCTTTTTTACAGGCGCACAGCAGCCTTTTTATATAATTTTATATATTTTTCTATTTATATATATATTTTTTTGATATAATTTTTATATAATTTTATATAATTTTTATATAATTGAATTTAGAATATCTAAGAAATAATTATTTTTTATATAAGAAAAATGTAATAAAAGTGTAATTATTATAAAATAATTACAAATATTTAAACATATTTATTACAAATACCTATAGATATAAAGATGTAAAATATCTACCGTCTCTCTCTCTTCTCTCTCTCTCTCTCTCTCTCTCTCTCTCTCTTCCTTCACTCTTCCTTTTTAACGTTTTAACTTCGTTTATCACTAACTCTTTTCTCGTAAAGTTTTACGCCTTCGACTCCTTTTTTGTTGTACTAATTTCATTTATTATAATATTTTCTATTTTATTTGATCTATCCATTATGACATTTAACGTAATTTAATATGAAACCAGCAACTTATATAATCATTTATTAAATGACTCACGTTAAAAGATCGAAACTCACTTCTAAGGAGTGATTTTTACAAAATCACACCAATAAGTAATTTAAAAAAAATTTGTGTACGTGTTTGTGATTATGTGTGCAATTCGTGTAAATAAACCTTTAATTTGTATGCCTTGACCATAGTAACATTTAAATTCAATATTCTTATTTTATACATACATTTCCTTCAACTTTTTTTAAATCAATGTGACACATAATACGGCTTAACCAAGATGTCTAAAGAGAGCAGCGAAAATGCATGCAACTCAAATCAGCATAATGTAAGTAGATTTTAATTTTAGAGAGAGAGAGAGAGCAAGGGAGAGTGAGAGAGAAAGAAAGAGAGAGAGGGCGTGTGTCTTAGAGAGAAAGAAAGAGAGAGGGAGAGAGAGAGAGAGAGAGCGCGTGTGTTTGTTAGTTATAATATTTTTATTATAATCTCAACAATTATAAATAATCTAATTCAAATAAAAATAATCTATAGAAATTTTTTGATTATTTAATTAGAAACTCTTTAAGCTTTAAAGAAGGCTCAAACGTAATTTTGTTATTCTTTATATTTAACTCATTTTAACTTCACCAATTCATTCTTCAAAGGTGTAACGTGACTTGTGATACACCCCTTATGGAAATTTATCATAAGTCCAATTAATCACTTATTTCGAGTACTTAAATTACTGCCTATCAATATATTAAATGATACTGATATACAGTAATGGTACTCAAGGTACTCAAAATAAGTGATATATTGATATACAGTAATTTAAGTTCTAGAAATAAGTTCTCGATTAATTGAACTTACTCGTGATAAATTTCTATAAAGGACTCTGTATGTATATCATGTGCTGCAAGAATGAAATAACTAAAAAGTCAAACAATTTTTTAAAATATAAAAATACCCTACTTGATATGAAATGCTCTATATACATTAATTAATATATAGACGTATACATATACATCTTTAGCATATATTAATTAATGTATAATAAATTCATTTTTATAATTTTCACTTAGTTTTATGATTGATGATGACAGAATTGAATCCCACTGGACCAACAACTCAATCTAGTAATCGAACATGTTTAATTATTATATTACACATTTAATACATTAGCGTTATTATTTAACAAAAAATCCAATGTTGCCCAATTGTTGACTTTGTTTAATATGACAATTATTACATGTTACATTATATACAAAAATTTCATACATGTATATCGATATGTTTAGCTAGCTAGCTACATGTCATTCGAATATTGAGCCATGTAATATGTTTATAGATTTCTGTTGAAGCGTATTACAGTAAAAAAATTAATCTATACTTTGATTTATATTTTATTTTATTTACTAATGTGTTAAAATAACAATACAAAAACAGCGCTAAGTATTTTTTGTAAAGAAATCTAAAGAAATCAAAGTATTATTGTCGTCAATGATTGTATCTTTTAAATTTGCGGAAAATGTCCAGCCGTCCTTAACTCGTCAAGAGTCTTGACGTGTTGTCAAACCGACACTATGTTCGTTCTTGACATCTTAAAATTATAATTTTATTTTTATTTTTACAAGTATGTTTTGCTTCTTTTTTTTTATCATTTTGTAATAATATTAGTGAAGTAATTTTGTTTTTTTATTGTATTAATCTCTGTCTATGTATATCTAGATCACTTGATAAGGACTCAAAAAAGGGTCGAAACGTTGTGATTGAATAAATAATATTTGCCAGTACGGTCGAGAGACGAATTTTACCTTTTATAATTATTAATGTTATTAAATTTAAAGAGAAATAAATAAATATATATATTTTAGTGAATTTATTTTTTAATATATATATGTATATTATAAACATTTTAAAATAAAGCAATAATTATACATTTGTTTCATTATAGGAAGTTTATCTAAATATTATATATTATGTTGTCATTTACTTACAATTAGTGTAAATTTTTGATTTCACTACTTTTTAATGCTAATATTTTAACCTTTTTTTCGTATTATTAATATAATTATTTAGCGCAATTTTTTGATTTCACTACTTTTTGATGCTAATATTTTAATTTGTTTCTAGTATTATTAACAAAAATAAAATATAATTTATAAATATAATTTTTGAGAAAATATTTTTGATAATGATTAATTTTTGCAAAGAATTATTTTGGCTATAAACAATTTTTGAGAAAATAATATATATTTGATTACGACTTTTTGTAAAGAATTATTGTTGCTTGCGAAAGATATAACTTAGCCCTTTTTTACATTTGTAATGTCTGTTTTAGTGGGATTTCTATTAACGGTAAATATGACTTATCGAGAAATTCAGTGTCTTTATTAGAATTAAAGCTATTTTTTTGCTGATTAATGTATGTGGACTCTGAGATTAGTCTCTTAAAATAATTAGTTTCAAAGTCTAATATTTTGACACCATTCCAGTCCATTTGATGCTGTTCTCCTATGTTATGTTGCGAGATTATTGAATGTTTCATCATATTTTGTTTTAAATTAGCAACACAAGCGCGCGCGAAGCGCGCGCTATTAATATTATTTTACTTTTTTATCACACATATATCGCGAGACTTCCTGTGCAACTGATTTTTAGACTTCTTAAATAAATTTTAAATAAAAAAATAATCTCTTAAGTAAATTGAATCTTAAATAATTTTTAGACTTCTTTTCATGCAAAGTCAATTTGCAAATAACTGCAAATGAACACAAGTAACAGCTGCTCAAGACATAAACTGAGCACATTGAAAGAACCAATCGGCATTGCGAAAAAACGGCAACAATTAAAGCGTCACATGCCTTTTTTCAAACTACAAACAATACAAGCGCGCGCTTCGCGCGCGCCATTAATTTTTTATGCTTTGGTTTAATATTATTTAGAACAACTGTCAAACTATTAACCTTCGCAATGACAGCTGTTTGATATGAATATAATACACTATGCAAATCAAGACAATCGATCAGCAACGCAGAAAAGCGGCAACAATATATGCGAGAATCGACTTTACATGCCTTTTTTACAAAAGGACTAGATTAACGCGCGCGCTTCGCGCACACCATTTGTTATTTTTTATTTGTTATTATCTTTCTTAGTCGATGCTCTATGTCAATGTATAATTTTCACTTCTATGCAAGTTTGTGTGAATATACCGTAACAGATAATATCTGAATGCACGCAATCTTCATATACGTTCGAGATGACCAATCATATTCAGAATAACACGATAACAATGCAATCGCGATTAGCGACCAATTTAAGCATTTCACAACAATTTTTTTTTTGGATAGGATTCTTTTGATGTTCATTAACTCTAGTTTTTACCCGCCGCTACCAAGCGCTAAGAATCGAGGCAGCCAATTCGCGTTGTTATGCGTTAGCTTTATAGTATCGAGCAGCTGTTGAAAGAATTAACAGTTTGACAGTTATCACAATAAAATTAAATAAAATTACAATTGTTAAAAAATTGAATCTTATACACACACACAATATATATAAAACCGGATAATGGCGCGCGAAAGCGCGTGCTTGTGTTTTCTAGTGACCTAATGAGATATAAACCTTTTATTGCTCTCAGATATTACAAGCTGTTTTTATCAAAACAAATGATATATCTAATCTAAGCAGATTCGAAGAATGTCTGATAATTCCGAAAACGTAAACGTGCACGATAATTTTTAAACAATATATCTTCGTTTACGTAAGATAATAAACATAATTTTTCCTTTTTTCAGTCTTGCTTATCAGCATTATTGCCACTTTGAGTCGCGTTTACTGAAAGATAATAATTCAAAAGAAATAAAAACAAGCCTCGAAAGATGATTAAACAACGTTTGAAAAATTAATCAACATCTTTTAGGCGTTTTTAAATCTTTTTTGGACCATTATTCTTCGAATTTCAACTTGTTCGTATTTCTGTTGCAAGTTTCCTTTCTAAGCATGATGTGATCAATGGTGAGGCGGCAAAGTGGGAGAGGTGGCAGGGACATATAATATATAAAGATGTAAATAAATATAAATAAACGAGTTTATAGTAGCCGATTTTATATTGCTGGACGCGTCTCGGTGACAAGAACTCCTGGTTTTCCTATTTTCAGTATTAATATTTGTCTCGAGCAAATAACTGTAAGTAAAACTTTTCTCATTTAAGATCTAGACTTGATTGAGATTGAACTCGAGTCTGTAAGTTGTTGTATATTTTTGTAAAGTGTAGTCGAAATATCTGGGCTAACTGGGCCGGCTAATTGGTTATAATCAATAGCGATAAAAGTGTATTAATTCGCAAAGTGTATTATATAAATCATTCTACAAAGTGTTCCGAAATTAAATGTCAAACCTTTGGGAGCGTGTAGAAGATTGATAAGCTAAGGAAAAAAGTCATATAGAAATATGCTCGTTTTTGCTTTATTTGCAAGAAAATTGCAAGAAAAGTGTTTTATTTTTTATTTTACTTTATTATTTATTCATATTTATATTTTCACTTCTAATGAAGATATTGTTCAAAATGTTGGCCTCTTTTTCTATTACATTTTCTATTACAACTAGATACTAGTCTGATGATATTTGATGAATTACAGACACGATTTGATCTTTTAGGTGCTCTCTTGAATCAATTAGCGATGAATTTTTTTTAACCCCCCCCCCCCATATGAAAAAATCCATAGGTGTTAGATCGGATTGCTACACAGATTGTTACATATTTTTTTGAGAATAGCTTCCATAATTATTTAGAAGACATTCCCTTACAGTAGCGGATTGAAATATGGTTTTAACTCGATGAGTGTCCAGCTCATTATGGTAGAGCTACTCGAACCAAAACTTATCCACACCAATGGATTGGACGTGGAGGAGTAGTATGCTCGGTCATCTGGATCACCTTATCTGACACCCATGAATTTTTACATATGGAGGGGGGATGGGCTTGAAAAAAAAGTTTATTCGTCGCCAATTGATTCAAGAGAGCACCTGAGAGATCGAATCGTGTCTGTAATTCATGAAATATCATCAGAATAATGTCTGACTGCAATACAAATTTAAATACTAGCAGATGCAATGCTTGCATTGCTGCAAGAGGGTAACATTTTGAACAATATCTTCATTAAAAAAGTGAAAATATAAATAAATAAATAATAAAATAAAATAAAAAATAAAACACTTTTCTTGCAATTTTCTCGAAAATAAAGCAAAAACGAGCATATCTCTATATAACTTTTTTATAGTTTATTGATCCTTTACATGCTTTCGACGGTTTGACATTTAATTTCGGGACACTCTGTATACACACAAGAATCACGCACAAGATACGTACTATATAAATCGTACTTGTATTCGCGTATATAATACGTTAAATCAAAACATTACAAATACTTTTAATTGTCATATAATCTATACAATAAATTTCTTAGAAATTGTAGATTAATTTCCAATTTAATTTCGCAAATATATTCGGCTTCCATGCGACACGATAAATATAATATTATTTACAAATAGTGGTGTTTTAGAAAAGTGTTTTAATAATGTTCAAATGTCGACATTTTAGTTTTAACATTTGTATTTTTATTGCATTGATTTTGTGTTTTTATCGAAATATTTAATACTTAAAAAGTATATGCTCGAAGATACAAGAAGTAAGATCAATATTTGTTTGGTTTTTAAGAATTAAAGCTATATTAATAAAAGAGGAAGAACTGTTTTGATTCATCTCCTGACGATAGCTTTACTCAATTCAATCAATCTTGTTAATATCTTATTAATATTAATCATGGAGTCGGAACAAACGCAAGTGTCTGAAAAAATGGGGAAAGCTTCTGGTGATTACATAAAAACTATTGAAGGTGATATGCAACCGTCGCAGGTGAATAATTCTGTTATCGAATAAATCTGAATTAAGAAAAAAAAATCAAATAGAAAAATGGAAAATTAACGAAAGAGTCTTTACTTCGAGTTGACGTGATACTTTTTTTCTTCAGTAAGATACGATTATGTAAATATTAGAATATTAAATTTATTTAATACGTTTAATTAAATGTTTAACAAAATTTTTTTCAAGATTTATATTTTTCAAAATAGATGAATTTTTTCCTAAAAATATTACGAAATTTTATAGAGAAGAAAATTGTATATAATTTTGCGTTCTTTGGAACTATCTAAAAAATGCTTTAATATTACTTTAATATAATGTACATAATATTTTACGACCGATGTAATAAACTAACATCAATTCTTCGCAATTTTTGTTCTTCCAATCGATAACATAAAACAAGAAGCTGATAATGCCGCTAAATTTTTACGTAATATATTATAATGTCTAGATATTTAGCGTACATAAAAAATTGAAAGATTAAATGTTGATTACAGGGCGTACAGATTAAAATATACAAGAAAAGATGGCTGATGCTTGTCCTCTTCGTGCTGTACAGCGCGAGCAACGGCATGCAATGGATCCAATACAGTATTATAGCAAACATTGTAATGCGCTATTACAATGTTTCAAGCTTCCTGATAGACATGACAAGCATGATATATATGATAACATACATTCCATTGATATTTCCCGCCAGTTATCTGCTCAATAAGTTCGTAAGTAATAATCTTATTAATAATAGAGTAGAGCGAACTTGTGCAAACTTGCGTATACTATGTTACGGAACGATTACACATACATTCTCTTGAATTGTGAATCATTTTTCCGTTTGAGTAGAAATGATTAAAGAGCAACAATAAAATTCGAAAAATTCGACTTTCCGACTTGTCTGATTTTTCTAGGTATGGTAGCGAAATGTGACGGTGCCGTAAAGTTTGCATAATTTAAAAACTTGTAGTACATGTTGTAGCACCGAACGATAACATTCCTCTTATTTCGAATAAATAATTTTTACGATTGTTCATTGATATAAACGAGTTTGGATACAATGCCAAGACAGGATAGCCGGATTTAATCTCACCGACGATATCTTTTGAAAGTCACTTTCTTTCAAGTAATCATTGATATTGATCCGACAAACTTCATTTCGCATACCATCGCACATTCCTGCTTATTAATATGTAAATGATAGCATCTCGTGTGGGATGGAATTTTAGGGTCTTAGATATGCTATGATCTTCGGGGCGCTCGGAACCGCTCTCGGTTCCTGGATTAAGGTGTTCAGCATAGCTACCGATCGCTTCTGGATCACATTCCTTGGCCAAAGTTTGGTTGCAGTTAGTCAAATCTTCGTTCTGTCAGTTCCAGCCCGGCTGGCTGCGCTTTGGTTCGGTCCTGATCAAGTTAGCAGCGCCTGCAGCATCGGTGTTTTCGCCAACCTGGTATGCAAATATCTTAATGCATCATATTAAAGTATGCTATCTGAAATGGAACTTGAGTTTGATGTTTGGAGAAGACTTGATAATTTAAAAAATATGTTTTTTTATTGATTTTTTATTATATCATTAGAATCTTTATTTTTGTCTTTGAATTACATTAAAATTATATTAAAAATTTATAAAAACTTATTTGAAATAGAACTTAGATTTGATGTTTAGAGCTAGAAAACTTGATAATTTAAAAATGTTTTTATAATGGTTTTTTTATTATATTGTTAGAATTTATTTTTGTCCTTGAATTATATTAAAATTATATTAAAAATTTATAGACTTATCTTTAAAAATTTCTAAAATTGAGTTTTTTGAAAAATTGAATTAATGATTGCCTTGGATTACTTTTTGAATAGTGTAAGAAATTAATTTTGTATACATATCTCTTTTTTCTCTTTCTTCCTCTTTCGTTATCTTTGTACAAAATAATCTTCGTGAAAATGGAATGAAAACCATGATGTAGAAACGTGTTAACTTCACGAAGCACAAAAAGTCGCTAACTATTAATCCACGCAATCAAATGATTTCTGATTCCATGAATCAAGAACGTGCGATAATAGACAATCGATATAATCCGATGATGAGATAAATCAATTTATTTGACACGATATGGATGTTAATTAAAATTTTTATATTTGTCTCATTTATAAATAGATTACAAAATAATTATTATATGTAAAGTAATATTAATCCTGTTTTGTTACAAATTAATATCTTTCAAATTACATATCTGCACACATTTTTATCCGAATGGAATGTAATTCAATTTAATATTTGATAATTAATTGAAAAGAATTCACGCAGAAGTATGTTAAAAATTTTTCAATGTTTACATTATTATTCGTGATTATTATTACATATAATGAATTCTTATTTAATGTGTTGCAAATTTCTGTCTAATTTAATTTAATTCTATGCAAAATATAATATTTCGATTAATTGTTATAGAAATATATAATAATTCTTAGAAATTTATTACGGTGAGATAATTGGTCTCTCTTGAGGTAAATTCTCAGTGTTATTATATAATTCTCGTTTTTCATCAAACGTAACATTACAAAAAAAAATTATTATTATATATTTTAAAAAATGCACGACATTGAGAAGATATTCGATTGTTACAACGACACGTGTCGCTGCACGTGCAGACAAACGAGAATAGATCCCCGCGCGCGGAAGTGACAGTCTGGAGTATCTCGCTAATCGACGAAAGGTACTTCGGGAGATTTGAATTATGACTGTGATTAGGTGGGAAATCAAGTCCAAATGAACACCCACGATTAATTTTGCTACCTCGACAGGCAGATCGGCCGGTGTCTGTGCGGGGGCAGACGAAAGAAACAAAGGTGGCAGAGAGCTCACCCTATATCATAGGATTCAATTGATTTTAGGTGCGGACTGTGTGCAGCCGCTATCATTTTATCAGTCGTCGTGTGTTTTATCGGGGAAGACTATCGAGCCTTACATCGATTTCGCAATCGATAAACGGAAGCTCAATTATATGCATTTTACAGTCGCTTTCGTATTACAGATCCGAATTTTAAAACACGTCTTTAGAATGAATTTTCAGAAGGGAGAAAGTATCCGGTATGGCTCTCAATGGCTCATTTTTTTAATTTAAAAAAATTTTTACAATTAGAGTAGAAAATTCAATTTCTTTCGTATTATTAAATAAATATATAATTTTAATGTATTCGACATGTTCTTATATACATTTTATTGACCTATATACAGAAATGACTTGTTTTAACAGCTGAAAACGGAAACATTCCGCTTCGATGACAATAAGTAAAAATGTGGTGAAAATACGAGCATACTAATTACAATTGTCATAAATATACGCTAAACGTACTTAAGATAAGCATTATGTATATCGGAAAAAATGAACTTATACAAGAAATATTTCTTTTAAATACTTTATCCTAAAAATTTGAAAACAACTTAGGATATTCGTCTCTTGATTTTTTGTTGCAGTTAGGTGTAGCTATTGGTTTTGTATTTCCACCGATGTTAGTGCCCAATAGCGACAATATCTGCAACGTTGAAAGGGGGTTGCAACTTATGTTCTATATCGTCGCGGCTTTCACGACGCTTATATTAGTTTTCATATTATTCTGTACGTGAACCTTCACTTATAGTTATATAATAGTTATGTTATCGGATAATAAAATTTTTGGAAACTGAAAAATTTAGAAAAGATATTATTTAACAAGCGATGATAATTAATGATATGATCCATCTTTTCAATGATTTAATGATTTGAATATTTTGCTACAAAAAGAAGACCAATTGAAAAGCAAGAATATAAAAGAAATAATTAAAAAGATATTCCATATAAATAATTTTTTTATAAAATATTACATTTATATTTTATGAACGTTTATTTCAGTGTCAAAAAACTTATATCTTGAGTAAATAATATACATGTTTTATCTTTTCACAAGATTATATTTTCTTTAATCCGAAATTTTATTGTTAAGACGTGCACATTTTCTTTTATCACTTAATAGAAATCACTTAACAGTAATTTATTTTTAACTAGTCTTCAAGGCAGCGCCGCCTTTACCACCTAGCCCTGCTCAAGCTGTGCAAAGAGAGAACACTGTGAACGAGAAATTTTCTCATTCTATTAAGAGGCTGCTTACCAATACCGGTTATGTGTTACTTTTATTCAGCTTCGGCATCAATAGCGGCGTCCTTAGCGCCATAAGTACTTTCTTGAATCAAATTATTCTCAAACATTTCCAGGTAAGTATTTTCCCCCCTGAAAACTGCTAATTCTCGCTTCTTTCGACACTTTTTAAAATTTTATTTTACAAACTGTTATTTATTAATGTTAAATATTTCAATACGTGTATCTTTTCTCGGTTCTTTGAAAAATTATAAGAATTTGCTACTTTTAAACTTTTCTTCCTTTCAGGGACATGAAGAGGATGCCGGTCGTATCGGTTTAACAATAGTTTGCATTGGAGTGCTGAGCTCCGTTATATGCGGCGTTATATTGGATAAAACACACAAATTCAAGTGAGTAAACGAAAGCATAGTTTTTATTTTAATATTGTTAAATAATATGATTTTATTAAAAATGAAAATCATTTTTAACAATAGCAATATTATTTCAACAAATTATTTCGATTTTTTAAAATCAGTAATAATTCATAACAGTAAAAATTCATGATAACAGTTATTGTAAAATCTTATTAGGATTTATGATATATTGATTGAATAATTTATCATTAAATTGTACATATCTGTATTTCAATTTATATCATCTCATCGAATGATAATTTATGTGATTAAACGAAAAATGTATAAATTTTCAGAGAGACTACGTTAGTGATCTACCTATGTTGTCTTCTTGGAATGATAGTCTTTACTTTGACACTGGACAGTAAAAAGATATATGTTGTTTACATTACAGCCGGTATCTTGGGGTAAAATCTAGCGATTATTTTTGTTATATTGTTCAGAAAATTATTTTAGAAGAACTTTATTGTTACAAACATATCTAATATTATGATTTACGATTTGCGCTTTTTAATTTCTAAAATCGATTCCAATTTAAATGTATTATAAGACACTTTACACTTTTGGCCAGAGCTCACTAAAAACTTTGTCGTTAAAATTAATTTTTTTTCCAATTAAAAATTCGTTTATAACTGATAGATATCGCTTTTAAAATATTCTCTATTAAATATTAATATTTATAATATATTTATTAAAATATTATATTTTCAGCTTCTTCATTACCGGTTATCTGCCGGTCGGTTTTGAATTCGCTGTTGAACTTACGTATCCAGAACCGGAAGACACTTCGACGGGTTTGTTGAACGCGATGGTGCAAGTCTTCAGCATTGCCTTCACGATGCTCTACGGTTTTCTGTTCAACAATTTGGACGACTTAATGGCAAACGTCGCGATGTGCATTGTCCTCGGGATCGGCACCTTGCTTACGATCATGATACCCAACAATCTAAGACGCCAAAACGTGAAAGTTTGACTGTCTAAAAACGATAGTGAGCCGTTAACGATCAGCGATGAGCTTCCACAGCTCAGTACAAATGATTTCCGCCTTGACAATTCTCCCCACGACACTTCGTCATAGTCCAAATAGGACTTAATATATTCCTCACACGAGTACACATTTAATGCGTTAAGAATAGTGATCTTTCTCTGAGTCACGCGTACGTATCAAGAGAAGATATATCTTTCCCAAAATTAGGAGTTCTTAAAAAAAACTAGTCATCAAAACTCTAAAAACTTACCTTTAAAAAAAAGTTAAAAAGACGCCTAGTATGGGCTCGCCAGTAGTGAAAATTTATCCATTGCAAACCCATGTAGAATTTTATGAAAATTTAACCATTGTAAACCCATGTAGAATCATACTTATGTAGAATCGTACTACAAAAATAATGATATAAAAAAAATTGCGCCAAGTAAAAGTAAAAACCACATAAGAAATATATTTTTATCGGCTCTCAATATTAATAATAATAATATGAATGATATTTAAAATCCGCCAATAGAGCACAAGCGCGAAAAATTAATTCTTCGGAACTGTATCTCTTGGTTTGAGATTACTAAGTTTCATATATAAATTTTTTTCGTCTATTTCTCCATATGTAAGTTCGAGATTAATTTATATATGGAACTTACAATTAGTAATCTCAAATCAAGAAATACAGTTTCAAAGAATTAATTTTTCGCGCTTGTGTCTATTGGCCGATTTTAAATATCATATTCATAAAAGTAAAAACTTGTACCAATGGAAAATTAAAGTTGCAAATTAATATAGAGTCGTATAATGAACCAGTAAAAATAAAAATATAGTAAAAAAAAACTTGGTGCACTGCTAAATAATATTCTAATGATATTAAAATTAAATTGTTATTTTAAAACTGATTGCAGTTAAAATATATTTTGTAGCTAAATTAATTAATGTTACTTTAAGGTGCATTGTAATTTTGAAACTTAGCAGCGCGCCAAGTTTTTTTAACTAAAATTTTTTCATTTTTTACTGGTTCATTATACAACTGAATCTATTGATTAAGTTTAGCAAACTTGATTGCTTCAGCCGATATATTGAGCATTCGAAAATAAATAAAGTTGAATATCGACAAAAAATATATATTAGCCGTCATTAGAATATATTTTACGTTTCTCGAATTTATGAGGCTGAAGAAAAATAACAAATATTATTTTTCAGCACGATGCCTTCTTACAAACTAACTTACTTTCCTTCTAAAGCATTTGCTGAACCAATTCGCTTCCTGTTCAGCTACGGTAATATCGAGTTCGTCGACGATCGTTTCGACTGGGAGGATTGGCCGAAAATTAAGTCAAGTATGTAGCTGCAAGACGCTGATCGGTATTATTAAGAACATGTGTCTTACTAGCATTTGTTAATTTATCGCAGTCGTTTTTCTTTTTTAATTAAGTCTATCCAAATCTCTAACTTATGGATTTTTGCGATAGATCAGCAATGAAAAAAAATTATGATTCTCATATATTACTTTTCCCACTTTGATTGATTTTTCATTGTAATTTATTTTCTTGTTTTTATAAATATGACATAATATTTTTTCTATATATATTATTATTCTATTATATATTATAGAGATGTATTATTTTACTGAACTTTCTTGCGTAAATCACAGAAGAAGAAATTAATGTTATTTCAATTGTGCGACAATAGAGTGTTTTGTTTCTTATTATGCATTAATAATAAATATAAATATAAATTTATTTTTATATTTTATTTTGTTTTACAAAACAATCGGTATTATCATGCGAATAAAATTCGCTATATTCAACTGTCTCAATAAACTTACAATTTAAAGGAAAACATTTTAGATCATGGAAAATACAAAGCCACACGAAGCAGTAAATTGTTTCAATATATATCTATATAAAAATAACAAGTAAGTTTCAAAAGAACAAATTATATTGCAAAAAGTTAGACTCTTTAATATTAAATTAGTTTTAACTTTAATAATTAATCATCAAAGCTCTATTTAATATTTACAAATATTGCATGACAATAATTGCATTGTAATTTTATTGTAATATAAATTCTAATAGTTTTTCCACAAACTCTATTCGATTTATAATAATAGTAAATTGGTTAATAGAAGTATTCGATAGTATAAGATTAAAAGATTATATTTGATATAGTCAATGTTGATATGAAAATTTGTCTGTAAAACGTTTCGACCGAATTTTGGTTATCCTCACAGTTACAAAATTCACATTTACATATTCTATAATAAAGAAAAATATATTTCATCTTTACTCTCAATACAAAATTTTAATTATTTCTATTTTTTCTTTATAGAATTTTATAACTAAGGATGGCCTGAATTAAATAAAAAATATTGTTCATTTGTTTTACGAATAAACAATATTTTTAATCAACATTGACCGTATGGAATAATCTTTTGATCTTGTCATTGAGGACCTATCAATCAATCTATTATCATTATTTATTATTAGTCATTGCTGTTTGCGACACCTATTTTTATCTGTTTCAAATTGTTATTTGTTTATTTGATTTTAAACATTTTAATATATTCACATGTTCTTTAAATATCATTCTTTAGCCGTGCCGTAAGGCCAGGTAGCCATGCTCGAAGTAGATAGGAAAAAGGTTGCTCAGTCTACAGCTATAATATTTGCCGCTACTTGGCGAAACAATACGCGATCTTGCTGGCAAAGACGATTGGGAAGCTCTGGAAATTGTGATTGAATAAATAATATTTGCCAGTACGGTCGAGAGAAAATTCTTACCTTTTTAAAGTCTGTCTGGCGATTCTCAAATATCTACGTTCTTATTATTTTTTAATTTTTTTCTTTTTATCACTAAGTAATTGAAGCGATGCTAAATAATTTAAACCACAATTTTAGTGAACTTAAGTACCTATACTGTTGTTATACTGATTTATTCGTGAAAACAATAAGTAATACATTTTTCTGTATATGCCATATTTACTGCAAATTTAATTTATTTAATCATTTGATTTTTAACGAAGTAGTTAAAGCAGAAAAATTAAAACTTGCCAAAGACATGGTGCCGTACTATCTGAAGCGTCTGGACGCACAAGTAAAGTAGAACGGCGGTTATTTTGTTGGTAGTGTTCTAACCTGGACCGATCTCGTTATTGTCGATAGTATATAGTTCAGCCTTCAGCTGGACGAATTGAAGGCTGCCATCGCACGAAAGCGTCCTGAACTAGCCAACAGGAAAGAAGTTGTCATCCACCATGATAACGTCGTATATCTATATATATAAGCACCGTCTGTCTGTCTGTCTGTACCCGAACTACTTCCGCATTTGTGGACCGATTTTCGTGAAACTGGTACCAAAATGTTGTAAATTTTTCGGGGGTGGCTGCTGTGGGTTTTTTTTTTAATTTTTAATTTTTATTTTTTTCCTCAGAGGAGGGTATGTTTTTGCAAAAAAAATTTTTTTTGCAATATTTCTGAACACATGGTATCAAAATGTTGCAAAATTTTGGAGATAGCGACGATGCGGTTTTTTTAAGTGTTACACTTCCACCCACTCACCCACCCACGCATTTACCCACATGCATGCGCATTTATGGACCAATTTTCACGAAATTAGTACCAAAATGTTGCAAATTTTTATGAGGAAACTGCTGTGTGGGTTTTTTAAGTTTACGCTTCCACCCACGCACCCACCCGCGCAATCGCATACTTATGAACCGATTTTTAAATCGGTACCAAATTGTTGCAAATTTTTGGAGATGGCGACGATGCGGTTTTTCAAGTGTTACACCTCCACCCACGCACCCACCCACGCGCATGCGCATTTATGGACCAATTTTCGAAATTGGTACAAAAATGTTGCAAATTTTCTGAGAAAGCTGCTGTGTGGGTTTTTAAGTTTACGCCCCACCCATGCATCCACCCACGCAATCGCATATTTATGAACGGATTTTTGTAAAAATTGGTACCAAAATGTTGCAAATTTTTGGAGATGGCGACGATGTGGTTTTTCAAGTGTTACACCTCCACCCACGCATTCACCCACACGCATGCGCATTTATGGACCAATTTTTACGAAATTGGTACAAAAATGTTGCAAATTTTCTGAGAAAGCTGCTGTGTGGTTCTTTTAAGTTTTATCCCACCCATGCATCCACCCACGCATTCAAACATTTATTCACAGACTTTTTCGAAATTTGTACTCAAATTTTGTCCGGGATGGCTACTATATGATTTTAACAAATTTTATCACTTTATTTATCCACCCACGCACCCATCCACGTATCCACGCACCCATGTGCATACGCATTTATTGACTTGGTCACACCAAGAAGTAATTTTTAAAAATTTGTGTACGTGTTTGTGATTATGTGTGCAATTCGTATAAATAGACCTTTAATTTGTATGCCTTGACCATAGTAACACATTTAAATTAATATTTTTATTTTATACATACATTTCCTTCAACTTTTTTAAATTAATGTGACATATAATACGGCTTAACCAAGATGTCTAAAAAGGCAACGAAAATGCATGCAGCTCAAATCAGCATAATGTAAGTAGATTTTAATTTTAGAGAGAGAGAGAGAGAGGGAGAGAGTGAGAGAGGAGAGAGAGAGAGGGAGAGTGTGAGAGAGAGAGAGCGTGTGTCTCAAAGAGAGAGAGAGAGAAAGAGAGAGAGTGTCTCAGAGAGGAGGGAGAGAGAGAAAGAAGAGAGAACGTGTGTCTTAAAGAAAGAGAAAGAGAGAGAGCGTGTGTGTCTTAAAGAAAGAGAAAGAGAGCGAGCGTGTGTGTCTTAAGAAAGAGAGAGAGAGAGAGAGAGAGAGAGAGAGAGAGATTAATTTAATAGTAGATATATATTATATGTATTTTTTTAGAATAACATAAGTAGTGAAGCCGTTATAATTAATGAACTGAATCATTATGATGAACAAGACAGAACGGATGAAATGTCAACAAGGCAAAGAGAAATGGAAGAATTTAGAGAAGGTAAATAAAAATTAATAATAATAATTAATTTAAAATTTTTAAATTTCTTTTAGTAAATATTTTGATTGCATATTTTTAAATTATATCTATATAAATCTACATTATACATATAGATATCTAATTAAATTTTTAAAATTTCAGTGCTTGAAGATGGGCTTGATGAAATTTTATTGCAAGCACTACTTGAATTTGAAAATCAGGAGATAAAGAAAAAAGAATTGAAAGAAGAAGGGAAAAAAGATAAGAAACGAAAAGATATAAGTGATGGTGAAAAGAAGAATAAGAAAAATAAAAAATAAAATTTGATATGTAAAAATATGAATTCATAATGATTCATTTCATTGATTTTTTTATAATAATTTTAATGTCTATTTCTAATGTATGATTTAATATGTAATTTTTATTAAAATTATACGTAATATGTATTTACTATATATCTATTTAATAAAAATATATCTCTATATATATATTAATTTACAGATATTTATCTAAAAAGTAAAGTATGAGAGTGAGAAAGAGAGGGAGAGAGAGAGAGAGAGAGAGAGTGAGAGAGAGTGAGTAAGTGAGTGAAAGAGAGAGGGGAGAGGAAGAGGGAGGGAGGGAGGAAGAGAGGGAAGAGAGAGAAAGGAGAGAGAAGAGGGAGAGAGAAGGAGAGAGGAGAGAGAGAGAGAGAGAGAGAGAGAGAGAGCGTGTGCGTGCGTGTGTGTATTTCTTAAAAAAAAGATACATAAAAATTATTAATTTATTTCAGGTATATTTTATATATTTTTTTAAAATAACCTAAGTAGCGCGAAGTACTTTTTGAGAAAATAATTTATTTAAGACAAATAGGTTCAACAGTAATTGTCTGCTGCTTTGAACAAGATAACACAGATTTACATATTTATATAGTTAATAATAGTATTTCCGTGTCCGCGACCACGTCCGCGTCCACGGCCACGTCCGCGTACACGGCCACGTCCTGCTCTTGCCCATCGAGCTTTAGTTTTTACTGTAAAAAGAATATACATAGATTTCTGATATTATAAGGGAATTAATCCATAAATGTGAAAGTAGGTCACGGTTATATAGATAAATAAATAGAAAAAAATATTTATAAATATGGATACTTACGTTGCAATTCATCTTTTTCCATTTCTTTTGACACTGCAGGCTGTGGATTATCAGTAGCCACCTCAGGTTGCACATTTTCAACAGCCACCTCAGGTTGTGGATTATTAGTAGTGGCTGTTTGGCCAAAGCAGCGGTCAGTTGCCGTTTTAACTCCCGTAGTACCTCCGTGTTTAATAGATTATTTTCGGAATTAAAATCTTCGCTACCTTCATTCTAAAAATAGATAAATTAATAGATTAATAATTTTCTTTCTCTCTCTTTCTCTTTAACACACACAAAACACAACTCTCTCTCTCTCTCTCTCTCTCTCTCTCTCTCTCTCTCTCTCTCTCTCTTCTTCTCCTCTCTCTCTCTCTCTCTCTCTCCCTCTTTCTTAAGACACGCTCTCTCTCTCTCTCTCTCTCTCTCTCTCTCTCTCTCTCTCTCTTCTCCTCTCTCTCTCTTATTTAAGACACGCTCTATCTCTCTCTCTCCTCCCTCTTTCTTTAAGACACGCTTTCTCTCTCTCTCTCTCTCTCTCTCTCTCTCCCTTTCTCTCTCTCTCTATCTCTCTGTCTAAAATTAAAATCTACTTACATTATGCTGATTTGAACTGCATGCATTTTCTTGCTCTCTTTAGACATCTTGGTTAAACTGTATTATGTGTCACATTGATTTAAAAAAGTTGAAGGAAATGTATGTATAAAATAAGAATATTGAATTTAAATGTTACTATGGTCAAGGCATACAAATTAAAGGTTTATTTACACGAATTGCACACATAATCACAAATACGTACACAATTTTTTTCAAAATTACTTATTGGTGTGATTTTGTAAAAATCACTCTTTAGGAGTAAGTTTCGATTTTTTAACGTGAGTCATTTAATAAATGATTATATAAGTTGCTGGTTTCATATTCAATTACGTTAAATGTCATAATGGATAGATCAAATAAAATAGAAAATATTATAATAAATGAAATTAGTACAACAAAAAGGAGTCGAAGGCGTAAAACTTTACGAGAAAGGAGTGATAAACGAAGTTAAAACGTTGAAGAGGAAGAAGGAGAGAGAGAGAGAAGAGAGAGAGAGAAGGAGAGAGAGAGACGGTAGATATTTTACATTTTTATAACTATAGGTATTGTAATGGTATTTGTAATAATTAAATATTGTAAATATTTTATACTTAATAATTACACTTTTATTACATTTTTCTTATATATATAAAATAATTATTTCGTAGATATTCTAAATTCAATTATATAAAATATATAAAATTATATAAAAATTATATAAAAAATATATATAAATAGAAAATATATAAAATTATATAAAAAGGCTGCTGTGCGCCTGTAAAAAGGCTGCTGCGCGCCTGTAAAAAAAGGCTGCTGTGCGCCTGTAAAAAAGGCTGCTGTGCGCCTGTAAAAAAAGGCTGCTGTGCGCCTGTAAAAAAGGCTGCTGTGCGCCTGTAAAAAAAGGCTGCTGTGCGCCTGTAAAAAAGGCTGCGGTGCGCCTGTAAAAAAGGCTGCTGTGCGCCTAAAAAAGGCTGCTGTGCGCCTGTAAAAAAGGCTGCTGTGCGCCTGTAAAAAAGGCTGCTGTGCGCCTATAAAAAGGTTGCTGTGCGCCTATATAAGACTGCTGTGTGCTTATACAAAGAATTAATATAAAACAGAATAAGCACGAAAAAAAAATTTCATCAAGAAAATCGATGAATTAATGAATAAATAATTTTGGTCATACAGACAGATATATAGATAAATAAATATAATTATTACGGCAATATATTTATAATATACCTACGTATACGCCGTATACGGTACGACGCAGATAAGTATGCCTCAAAAGAGAAAAGGCGGAAATTTATATAAAATCAGTCGCAAAAGCAAGCGCTTACGACAATTACGAAAAATTGAGAGTTCGGAGGAAAGATCTCAACGACTCGAAGCTGATGCCCAAAGACATGCTCAGCAGAGGCTCATGAAAATAATGACGCAAGGTCTCAACGACTCGAAGTTGATGCCCAAAGACATGCTCAGCAGAGGGTTCAAAATAATGACGCAAGGTCTCAACGACTCGAAGCTGATGCCAGAGACATGCTCAGGGAAGGCAACAAGCTAGACAATTAAATCATCATATTGCGCTAATTGCCAAGGACAATGAAATAAATGTGTCAGTTCATACACTTGGCCAAATGAATATAGAATGCCAATTTTGCAAATCGTTAAATTTTGAATGTGAAAAACCTAAAGATGGGAAATTTACATATTGTTGTCAAAAGGGTAAGCTTACATTAAAGTCAATAAATTGTCCTGATTTTATTAAAAAATTATACATGGGAAATGATTATGCATCGAAAAATTTCCTAAATATTCGTTCATATAATAGCGCTTTAGCTATGGCTTCTATGGGTGCCCCGGGCAATAGAAATCCATTGGATGTTGTGAACAATGCTCCTTATTGCTTGAAGATTCATGGGCAATATCATCATTTGACTTCGACAGCAATGCGCCCAGCGGATGGGCAAGCTCCGCGCTTTGCGCAGCTTTACTTTTAGATACAGAAGAAGCTGTAAATCATAGAATGAATAAGAAAGCTAATCAAGAGTGTGATTTTGAAATAATGAAAAATTTGTCAAGTTTTATGGTTCAATGCAATGAATTTGCAAAGACTTTCAAGATGATGCGTCAAGTTGAACAAGATCTTAATCCAATAGGCAATAAAAATATAAATTTAATGTTGTCCTTTCGAAACGATCCTCAACATGATCAAAGAAAATATGCTCCACAAGCTAATGAAATAGCTGTGGTCTTTCAGAATGTAGATGGTGAGCCTCCATTTGAAAGAGACATTCGGATTTATAATAAAAATTCAAACGATGTTCAACAAATATCAATTCTGGACAAAAAGTGTGACCCAATGTGTTATCCTTTGTTATATCCATATGGTAACGATGGATGGCATTCAGAAATGAAATCTTATAATTCTAAATATTCAGGATTTAAAGTAACTCAAATGGATTATTATGCTCATCTGCTGGCACCAAGAGCCGAATTTAGCCAATTTAAAAGAGCAGGCAAATTGAGATGTCAATTTATACTTGATGCCTATATGAAAACTGAAGCCAATAGACTTAATTATATTAAATTAAATCAACCTCAATTAAGAGCAGAACTTTATTCAGGATTAATGGATCACCTTGATAATCGAGCACAAAATGAGGGAATTACAGTTGGTGTACCTGTAATATTACCATCTTCATTTATGGGCAGTCCAAGGAACATGCAAGAAAGATACCAAGATGTCTTTGGTAAGAAAGTATGGTAAACCAGACATTTTTCTAACCATGACTTGCAATCCTCAATGTCCTGAAATTAAGGATAATCTTGATGGATGTCAAATAGAGTTTCGACCTGATTTAGTCGCTAAAACATTTAATTTGGATGTCAAAGAGATTTTAAAGGATTTAATTCAAAATAAAATTTTGGAAATATTATAGCTTATGCAGGTGTGATTGAATTTCAAAAAAGAGGACTTCCACATTTGCATTTACTTGCAATGTTGAGCGATGAAGATAAGCCCCGACTTCAAGAAGTCATTGATATGATGGTATGGGCTGAAATTCCTAATGAAGAAAAATATTCAGAACTTAATGAAAAAGTTTTGAAACACATGATTCACGGTCCATGTGGAGATCCCTCGAGGAGATATCCTTGCACTGGGGACGATGGAAAATGTTCAAAAGGATTTCCAAAAGAATTTAGTGATAAAACTAATGCTAATGTAAATGGATATCCCATCTATCAACGTAGGAATATTGGAATAAAATACATGTTAGAAATAAAGAAGTGGATAATCGATGGGTGGTGCCGTATTCACCATATTTAATCATGAAATATAATCGACATATTAATTTAGAAATATGTTCATCAGTGAAGAGCGTAAAATATCTATATAAATATATTCATAAAGGATTTGATTGTGCTGCAATTGAAGTGCAAGCACGAGATGGTACAAGATTCATTAGAATAGATGAGGTTAACTCATTCATGGATGCAAGATATGTTAGTGCTCCAGAAGCAATGTGGAGACTTAATGGATATGATCTGTTCATGAAATCTCATACAGTAATA